CCGTAAACTTTGTTTATTACTTTAGCAAGTAAATTAAACATCCTATGTAATTATTTTGATGACTTAATAAAACTAACTTTCTCAAATCTATATTCAGGAAATTGTTCTCTTTTCATATATATATATATATATATATTCGTTACTTTCCATGCGGAATTATCGATTCCAAGAGTGTATCTCGAATGCATATATACATTCACCTACTTTACGGCGAAAGGGTTAAGGTCGTCGTTTCCCGCTTACACATATAAAGTCGAATCGATCACACCTCGCTGTATCATTGCGATGGGGAAAGTTAAGCGCGCGTTCAATCGAGCCGTGGAAACCTCGACTTTCGACCTCGCATGAATCGCGGTATAGGTCGACAGAAGTTTCTCGATAAAAAATACACGAATGTAGTCTTCCTTTCAAACTTCATCGCGGAACAGAATGTACATTATTAATATTTATTAGCATATAGAGCGTTAAGGAAACATATCCTATATAAGCGTCCACTTTCAAACAAGGAGAAATAAAATTATGCAAAATGACAACTCGTATACACTTCACTTTAGTGAAGTGACAGTGAATTAAATTTTTTCGGCCGACCAACGTGCTCACTCGAGTACCGCGCTCGAGTACCGCTCGAGTACAGGACGAAAGGGTCAACCGATTGGAACAGCGGATGTCACGTTGGCTTCCGAGCTCTTTAAATTAGTTATGGGATTTAAACGATTAATTGAGACGCGAGTCTTCGGATCCGACCGAAGGGGTCCAACCGTGGGGTGTCCAATTTCGGGCCCTTCGGCTAGCTTCCTGTGAATCCTCGCAGGAGATTCGCCGAGAATAGCGGACTCGAACGCAGAGCCACTTTCGACTCTGCTCAGTCAAGAGCTCTGCTCGGTGCAGGAAGTGCTGGAAGATAATGCAACCGCATCCTACGTGAACGCATCCGTGTACTATCGCGTGTCGCCGAACTAAAACTACAGTGGGACGTCGTATATTTAGTCTGGTTGACGATATAACAGCTGGCCGTTGAACATATCTAGTTACCGATTAGGAAAGTATTTTCTTCTCTCGAAGAGCAAAGAAAGAAATGTGATATTTATATCGGATCACCGATAAAAGGTAGATTAACACGTCGTCCTTTTCACGGAAAGAGTAGAGCTCTGAAAGTAGAGCTGAAACGTTTAAAAATTTGATCAGAACTAAATCTGAAAATAATTTTCTTAGGCCGTCAAATAATTATATAAAACGATTCAAATCGATTGATAGAATATAAAAAATTTTGCAGTATTGTTATGTTTAAGCGTCCTAATAATTATTTCGATGACTCGATAAAATTGTTTTCGGCTAAATTTTTTAAGTACTTTAGCGTTTATATATTTTTTGATCCTATTTCGCAAATAATATAGTTTGGTTTTTGGATATTGGGTTCTTTTGTTTTTTTTTTTTTTTTTTTTTTTTTTTTTTTTTTTTTTTTATTTTAGTTGAACTAGTGTATACTCGTACTTAAGTACATACTTATACTTAAAATAAAGTGGATATATAGATATAAAGCTTGGAATTTGAAGAACGCGATAGAACGCCGCGTGGAAAGATAGCGCAGTCTAAATAGTGCAGCGATAAAGAATCTATTGATGCGACCGATGAGTAATTGGCTTTTCCTTTCTGTTTAAATACCCGGGAGGGAAAAATCTCTCAATAACACGGCACGAGAGTTTCTCCGTAGCCTGCAGCGCGCACGTGCGTATCCTGCGTGCGTGCCTGCGATTCGTCATCCGGAAGGACCGACCGATGATTGTTGTGCGTTCATGTCGTGCGCTCGGTCGAGAAGTCGTCCTTGTCTTTTCGACGTGAAACCGGTTATCTTTGCAACCTCGGGCCTCGATAAATCAAGTAAGAATGCGACAACATATTTTCTCCGAAATGTGCCCGTATTCTCTTTTCTCTCCTCTCGTCTCGACACTGACTTGGAATTAATATTAAACGCTCCACCTTGGGGAGCGAAGGATCAGGGTCACATTTTTTAACATTTAACATTTATCTCCGTGAAAAGAACTGAATTTATTCTATCTTTTATATATTTTTTTCTACTTACAACGTGATGTGTTTAGAAATATAATCTTGAAGCGATAAATAAAGCGATAAATAAAGACTTTTCTCGTCTTCGATTTTTCCTCACAAACTCAATTTTATCGTGTTGTTCTTGATTAAGGATCTTTGTGCGTTATCCTTTTTGTTTTTAAATTTATTATTACCTCGCAAGAAAGAATAAACGTTTTTGGGAAATCGAACACTCATCACTTCGTGTTCTTTAGTTCTTTCCACGATCGCCGCTGACTGTAATGCATTTTTAAGATTTATTAGCCGAGAACGGCGATACGGCGTAGTTTTCCGATAAAGGTGCGCCGAGAAAAAAGAAAATCACAAGGAGAATCATGGAGAATTGCACGCTCGGTCATTACGAAACCGCGAACACCGAGAGATTCGTGACGTGCATTTCTTCGAGAGAAGAAACGCAAGCTGCACGAAGAGGGCAGACGACCTCGGGGTCCCTACAGGCCCCACGCCGCGTCCCCCTCGTCCATGATACCTACGCCCTTTGTGTCTTAGAGTAGGTAGGAATTTCGAAGTCAACGTAGTAGCAGGTTTGACAACGAGGACGAAGAAATAATGGCTGCTGCAATGTTCAGGTACAAAAATATTCGGGTATAAAAAATATCGCAAGGACGAATATTAAGAAGGACGATATTAAGAAATCTGTAATATAAACTGAGAACTAATATGTTCCAACAAGAAAGAGCAGTTTTGTTAAAATATCTAAAAATTTAGTCAGATTTGAAGATAATTTTATTGAACTACTAAAATAATTATGTCAATATTAAATTATTTATGTATGTGTACAACCAATTTTTTATATTTCATGCAACCAATTTAAATATGTACATTTGAATATGTACATATTTGAATATGTATATATTCAAATTGATTGCATGAAATATAAAAAATTTGATACATTTGATTATATTTCATACAACCAATTTGAATATGCGCATATTCAAATTGGTTGTATAAAATATAAAAAATTTTGCAGTATTATTATTATATTTAAACATTCTATATAATAATTTTGATGGTCCAACAAAATTTTTAAATATATATATATATATATATAAGATTATATCTTGTTACTTCAGTAAAACAATTCTTTTTGTACAGAAATGAAACGTCAGCTAGCTAAAGTGATATTTTTTGCAATAAAAATTTCTTGTAAAAAAGGGCGGTATCATTATTTGAAAAATAAATTAAAAGATATAACAGATAGTTCTGATTTTAAGTAGCTATATTTCAAATTCATTAAAAAAATCGATAGTGGGCTTGACAAAAGCCCACTTGTTCTTGAATATAAATTCAAGATTGAAAAAATTAGTATAAGATTTTGCCTTATCAAATACCGATATTATTGAAAAATTTCTTAAATCACAGAATACATAGAAAGAAGAATTTTGCTGAAGTATCTAAAATTTTGGTTAGATACAACTCTGAAAATAATTTTGTCGTGCCATCAAAATATTTATATTCGGGACATTCAAATTGGTTACTCGAATATAAAAAAACTCTTGCAGTATTATTATTATTATACTTAAGCGCTTTACATTATAATTTTGACATGGCACAACAAAATTATTTTTAAATCTGTATTTAGCCAAATTTTTAGATTACTTAGAGCAAAGCCATTTGGTCCCTGTACGTCGCCTCTGATAAGAGACGATTCTCGTCGGATCACGATCCGAGACGATCCGGATTTGCGTTCGACTATCCCGGATTTCCGACCCGGCTATTTATAATTTTGCTGTAACACCTAACTGACAGACAGATTCGTGGGTTCCGTAATGAAGTCCGTTATCGTAAAAGGTGCGCGTGATGCGGCGATTAAGCGCGCGATGATAGCGCGCAGCGGGACGTTGTCAGATTAGCTAGGAAATCTCGCGAGACGTCGCGTGAGAGGACGTCTCGTTCTCCTATTTCTAAGTCAAGAATCCTCAAAGGGATCTTAATGAAGACGTACCGCGCGCGCGCGCGCGCGCGAGAGAGAGAATCCTCTCGTAGCTCGTAGACAACAATGGTTATTAACGCGATAATATCGCGTGCAGCTTAACACAGTTATGCACAGTTGCACAAATCGGCGCGACCGATCGCTGAAAGATCACATCTCGAATACCTCGAGCTCGATCGAGCTTGGCGAAAAAGAAAAAGAAAATTACATGATAAGGAATTAAATTTCCTTTCATCGTCACGTGTCGTCGGACAGCGTATCGTCGTACTTGATAAAGCGAACGGCAATTACTAAATAAGAACCTGCATATAT